GGGTTAACTGAGTTCATCACAGCTTGCTCCATGCCAGGCTGTTTTTTGTTTTTGTTTTTTAATCTCCCATGACGGATTCTGAAGTTTCACTGACACTTCTCATAAAAGCAGGTTTCTGACCAAAACTTTCCCTTGGGTGTAATGTGGGTTGTCCACTGGCCTCTGCCCCAGAGGCAGCTGCCTTTCAGCGGTGGCATATATAATCGAGGAAGCAACCCAGGAGTCTTTGGAGTGAAAGGTGATACATCATAATTAAATATTGCTGTATAGTCTCTAGTGCTTTGTGGTAAATGGTTTTAAAAAGATGGTACATAAAGAGGCTTCCAGGATTTCTGATATTTTGCAGGGATTAGGGATGTTGTAACTGTATTTTGCATGACAGAATGTGAGACCCAAAGGCAATGTGACAGATGTGGGGCTCCACTTCACTCTTGGTATGACACTCTCAGGCTTCTGCCTCAGTTTCCCCTTGTTTGAAAGGAACCTGTTCAATAGATCTTTATTTATTTTTTTCTTATTTTCTTCTTAAGGCATTTTGGACTCTATAGCTAAAACAAAAGCAATCTCTGTAGCTACAGTCATGCCTGAGATTAAGGTACTCTGGGATCTGGGCAACATCTTCTAAAATTGCTCTGAGCTCTCTGCTGGTGCTCATGTGTTTGAGCAAATCAGACAGAGCAGCAGCACAAAGGCTGGGCAGCTGAACCTAGCTCGTTTGTGTCTGCCAAAGCAGTGGTGCCTCTGCACCTATGTTTGCTTGTTATAAACATGATTGTTACTCAGCACAAGGCAAAAGCTGTGCCAAGTATTACTCCTGCTTTCACTTCATAGAGAATCCCAAACAGGTGGATTTCTCCCCCTTCTACTTCCAGCCAGATAGCGGGCTCTAACTTTTCTTTTTATCCTTAGCAAATTTTCAGTTTAATCACTTAACAGCACTGATACCTGAATACTTACAAGTGCAAGCAGTTGCCTGAAGCAGGAGAAAGGAGCATATTTGGAGCCCTTAATGGCAGACATCTGTATGACCCTAAGGGAGGTCTTCTCCTTCAGGCCTTTGCCTCTAGAAGCATGTTTGAGGTGCCCACAGGTGCAGATAAGAGACATATGAGCAGCTAGGCTGAGCACACAAGCGTTTGATTATTTCTCAGTACTTATCGGAGGAAGTGTGAATTTCTCCCTAATTAAGAGCTAATGCCAACTTCTGTGAAATTTGTTGTCATTCACCTGTGAATTATCCTCCTCAGATTTAACTTGACTGCAGGAAGCCCGCTAGCAGTAACACTTTCCTCTGGGAGCTTAATTCGGCTGGTGAAGCACCTCTGCGGTTGCTTATTGAATAGGAATTGATGCTCGTGAGTCTGGGAGAGGGCAGTTTGGGTAGGCATTTAAAAGCCTTGGCAGCCCCCATCTCTTGAGTATTTGATATTTTTTTTATTATTTGAGTATTTATTCTTGAGCCAGGAAGCTTGGAAAATCAGCATCCTTGCTGGATTTCCAGGTCTGCATGTTGCCCGCTAAAGCAGAAGAGCTGTTGGAAGACAAGTGTTTATTGCCTTCCCCTTGCAGGCCAGCCCAAAGCTGGGGAGATGCAGGACACCTGGAAGAGGGAGAAGCCCAGGAGGCTGCAGCTGAACCTGAAGCCTGAACTTTTCCCAGTGACTTCAACAGGGGAGGTTTGGGGGTTTGATTTTCCTCAGTTCTGAAGCTCAGACCCCTATATCTTTTGGGGGAGGCGCTAGCAAAGAGCTATTGCCACTTCAGTTGAAAACTCAGGGCTGAGTGGTTCCTGCAGAGCTGCCCCAAGCTGAGGAAAGGGGAGGTCAGGACTTCGCCCAGGAGGTTACTTTTTCAGGAGCCTGAAGTGAGGTTTCCTAATTAGTCAAAGCGCTTGTAGCCTGCCCAAACAAGAAAGACGAGTATAATGTCCCTGCACCCGAGTCATTTAACTATTAACCCTGAAGGAGAGTAAGGAGATACCTAAAACAATGACCCAGTTAATTTGGTATAGTGCTCGAGCGCTGGGGTTCTTTGTTGCTACCTGTGGGTCTGGTGATATCATCATCTGCTGGTTCTCAGCAGGACAGGAGGCCAACGTTTTAAAGCAGGATTTTAATGCTGATTTTCACATGAACCTATCTGATACCGGTGTAACGCAGTGCCTTTAATCAGCTGTTGCTGGTTTCTGCTGACCCCGAGGTGCTGAGACCCCTTGGAGCAGGCCTGGCTTTGGACGAGGCCTCCATAAAACAATGAGCTGGGAATGGTGTTTTGGATTTTGGACACAGAGTCAGGAGCTTTATCACATGTCCCATTTGAAATAAGGTCCCAAGAGGATTTGTTCATTATGCCATAGCCAGTGGTCCTTTCTCTGCACCCTCAGAGGCTGAGGATGCGGGGTCCGCGTCCTGAGGCAGATGCTCCCTACAAGAGGCCTTCTCTTTTTCACCAGCATCGAGAGAGGTTAAAAGCCTGTGGGCGGAGGCCAGCACAGAGTGCCCATTGTACATGCGTGCATACCAGAGCAGTAACTCTCTGGAATGCTGCACAGCCGAGCTTTTACCACCTTGTGTTTGTGTTGCAGCACAGGAGTGTGTGTACATTGCGTCCCTCTCCAAGGAGATTAACAATGTGACCTGGCAGATAAATAGGACAGCCTTTTTTTTGATTGGACTGGTTGGAAGAGGAAGGTAACCCTCACTCCCATCACCTCCATAGGCACAAAGGAGAGGCAAGGTGCAAGGTTGGTCAATTAGGTGGAGCACCTCCATGCAACTGGGTGGCTTTAATGTACTAATTGCGTTAGTAATTAGTGAGTACCGCATGGTAAACACTTGGGTTCAGAACTATGTAAGGGCATTAACTAAGCCACCCTACAATAGGTCTGAATGAGTAAGCATTATCCTTGTTTCATTGATGGTGAAAGGGAGAGCCTTGCTGGCCACAGGGTGAGTCAGGACAGGCATGTGGGAGACCGTGGGTCTGTTAGTTCTTCAAGATCACCTTAGATGAGGCCAGGGTGACAGCAGCTCTGGGAAATGAGCCTCTTCCCTATTGCCAGAAGATGTGCATCTTAAGCATAAGTGTTTTCATGATGTTCTGCCAAGGTACGTCTACCATGAGCTACAAGAAGTACCTCTAAGGCCAGATGGCAGTTCAGGCTCTATGATAGCTCCTATTTTTTTTTTCTCCTTCTGCTTGGGCTGTCATATTGTGCTATTTATGGGAAGTTTATTTGAATTTGTGTCTGCTGGGACCTGGGTGGAGGTCACCAATGATTTCATGGAGCTGTAGGATACTTAGGGCTTTCCATTACTAGCCATATGTGCTAGGGTCAGACAAGTGACCCATGGCCATATTCCAGTGGAAATACAGCTACATAACTTAAGAAAAAGGTTCGTATTATTACTTCTTAATTTTTGAGTTTAGGTAAGTACTTTTTAAAAGACGAAAGAAGCTAGTGGCACAAGGGCATGTGATTTTTCTCAGTGAGCTGTGCTTTAAAGCAAAATAGTGCACATTTATAGTACTGTTATGATTTGGTGATAGGTAGCAAGTTCTCTATTTCTCCTTTACAGTTTATTGCTACTAAAAATGGCCTGGGAAATCCCTGGCTGTTCTCAGATCTTGCCTGCAGTTGGTCAAGGGGTGGGGTTTGGCAACGTAGCCCAGCTCATCTAGTAGGGAGCTGCTGCTGCGAGAGCAGGTCTGCGCCCCCAGCACCGACTCCTGGCAGCGCCTTCTTGTTTCCTTCTCCCTATGCCAGAAGGGATATTCTTCTGACCCACCAGGGAGCTGTTTCAGGGTAGTAAAGTAGCAGCAAATTTCTCTCTGAGATATCCTTCTGCTGACTTTTAGCCTAAAGTGGCTTGTTATATTGGGCAGAGAGTTGGGGGATTACTTGGCAGGTTTTAGGGACAGAGTGCAAAAAAACTTCCATGCCTTCAAGAATGTTTTGTGTGTATTTTTTTCTTCCCTAACCAAATGCTTGGTATTTGGTTTAGTCTCTTTATGCCATTGAGTGGCACATCTTTTGCCTCAGCTGAATATTCCCAGCATCTCTCATTAACTTTTGCCAAGATTATAAGCTGAGTGCTTTCAACCAGAGGGGTTTGATCTGTGGTATTTCAAAGAAATCTCACGTCTGAAAGGGTGAAAGCACAGTTCCTGCTTCAGTTGGCCCAAGCCTTTGTTACAGAGCAGTGGTACCCAAGGGTACAAGGAACTCTGGAAAATATTGACTTAATGACTTCATCTTTCCTCCATCACCCTCAGTACTTAGGTCCCTGACATGCCCTGAAAGGGACCCAGGTGGATCCTCCTCCATGCGCAGCATCCCAGGGAGCATCTTGGGCTCCAGACAGCGTGTGCCTGGCCCAGCAAGTATTGAATAATTCATCCGAAGCAGAGTGCCCCACACAACAGCCGGCAGCCGAGTGCGTCTCCCTTGCTTGCAAAGTGGGGAGATAAGAAGTCTGAAGCTCTCCTGCCTCCCTCATAGGGCAACACTGGGTTTTCTGGGCTCTGATCAGTGGGATATTGTTTAACATGAGTCTGCCTCTCTATTTTTTTTTTCTTAAAACTAAATAAATAAGTAAACAGAACCAAACAAAAAACAGGACAGTGACAGGGAACACTTTGAAATAAGAGGAGGTTTATGGGTATGGAGAACTGCTTTCTCCTTCACTTCTTTCCCAAGTCCAGAGTGGAAGAAGGTTGCATATAAACATCTTTTTGTTGTTGTTGTTTTGTTTTTTTAATCATCCATTTTCATCAGTCTAGTGATGCATGTGGCTATAATTCCTCAGCTGAGCTGCTGAAGGGTACTAGACCTGGCCCTCAGAAATGCCGGCCAGCGTCAGTTCCCGCTTTGCATCAGGGAATGCCCTTGAGATGTTGCAGGGGAAGCCCGGCCACGCTGCATTTCAGTCATTTCCACACTTGCATTCAATACATACATGTGTGCTAACTTCCTTTTTTCTTCTCCTTTCCTTTGACAGTGGCAGATCTGATCACTTCTGAGCACCTTGCAGCCTCTGGGCAACTGGGACGTTGAACTTGGCGAACAGCTGCCATCCGTTCCCTGGGATCCTACCTGCCCTTTCTCTCCCCATCCCCTCCAGCACTCCCCTTCCCTCTGATAAAACTCCAGTGCACTGCGGTACTGCTATGGAGCCCAGGGAGACTTTGGGCAGCTCCCGGCAAAGGGGAGGCGAGGCAGATTTTCTGCCGACCACCGTCACCTCTGCCAAGCCTCCACCGGCCTCCAGCTGCACAGGGGAGACGATGCTGCCTGCAGCAGGCTCGGGGAAAGGGATCCCAGTGAGTGGAGAGCGGATGGAGCCTGAAGAGGAGGATGAGCTGGGTTCTGGGAGAGATGTGGATTCCACTTCCAACGCAGACAGCGAGAAATGGGTGGCAGGAGATGGGCTAGAGGAGCAGGAGTTTTCCATCAAGGAAGCTAATTTCACAGAGGGGAGTTTAAAACTAAAGATCCAGACCACCAAGAGAGCTAAGAAGCCCCCAAAGAACTTGGAGAACTACATTTGCCCTCCTGAGATCAAAATCACCATCAAGCAGTCTGGGGAGCAAAAGCTTTCCAGAGCTGGGAAAAACAGCAAAACAGCAAAGGAGGAGGACAGATCACACTCCAAAAAGAAGGTAAGTCCTCTGCTTTCCTGTATTTTCCCTAGAACCAGTGATTTGTGCCCAAGACACAATCTTCAGGCAGATTACGAGGTCCTGCGTGGCTACAGAGGAGGCAAAGCCATGCAGGTATCATCCTGCGGTGCTGTGCAAGCTGTGAAGGGGATCTTGACCTATTCTTCAGGTGCACCAGTTCAGGAGGGATCAAAAGTTCAGCCTTGCTTCTTCCCTTTTTGTGCATAATTGAGATTTAAGGTTCATCTTTACATGAGTGATAAATGAAGGAGCCCACTTCTACACTGCTTTGTGTCTGAGCTTGAGCCTTTTGGCAGTTAAAGCTTTTGACTACATTTGTAAAATACAGGTATGTGCACAGAGAACAATTGAATCCATTCCTGTATACCGAGCAAACGGCTCCATTATTCTTGATTACAGCATTGTGCTAGCAACACTATAGTTATGCTTCAGAAAATACTTCCATTATAAGTCTCATTCTTCTAGATGCTTATTATTTTCTTGAAATATCCTCCTGGAGAGAATTTTTTGGTAGCTTAAGCTAGGGTAAAAAAAAAAAAATTAATATATTTTTCTTTTTTTTTGGTGTGTGTGATTTAGTCAAAAAGCGGAACAGGGTATAAAGAAAAGATTTTCTTTATATGAGCTGATTACAGGAGAACCCTTTTTGTTTTCTTGTTGGCTTAATTTTCAGTAATGTGCCCTATGCTTAGATTTTTAAAAGAAATCGAGTTCTGCAGCAGCACTGAGGGGGAGCAGGGAGATGATACCTTGTGACTATTCGTGTTATTTTGGGTGTAGGAGTGCTTTTTGTCCTAGGAGTCAGACAAAGGAGCCCTGGTCAGGTTGAGTCTTTATCACAATACAAATAATTCACTTCCGCCTCTTAAGCAACATGTGGGCTTTGTGATGAGTTCAGACAGGAGTCCACATCTGCTGAAAGACTCATGAATATCTCTAACACCTGGACAAATACACCTGGGATATAGGCTTGCACCAATCTAGAGCTCAGGGGATGACTTGGTCTTGCTGTTTGATGTAACTTTGATCCCTTGCTGTGCAGAAGGTGTCCCCTTTTGTACGTCATACCCGCGATGGGTGTTCGAAGGGCTACTTTAAGCCTGGAGGAGGCTACTTGCCAGTGGCCCTCTCAGGACCCAGTGTCCTTCACAGACTGACCTAGACCAAAAGTCTGACAGCTCTAAATCTCTTTCTGAAACAGCAACATTTCCCATTGATGTGAGGCAGAGCCCAGGGAGGTTAACATCACTCACTGAGGGTACTTGCCTTAGAAGCTGATCTTGTGGCAGGGAGAAACCAAGGGGAATTTTTCTTAGAACCACAGTAAATGGCATATTCCTTGCACATGAAAAGTAGCACAGTATAGTTTTGTTCTGGTAATAAACTGGGAATTGATTTTCCCACCTATTGAGAAGGACAGGCTGCATTCTTAGCACTGAGCAGTGTTTTATTTCCATTTCCTTATCCTCCCTGAATACTTGCAGCAGTTTCAAGGGAACCAGTGGTTGTGTGAGACTCTGCTAAGAGACAGCAAAGGTGTCACAAGCAATCCCTCTATGGCCAGGCAGGGAGAAAAAAGACTTGCTAGCCACTGCCTACTGCACATGGACTGTGAAGAAAGAGTGCTTAGAAATCAGACCTTTCATTTTTGCTTATCCCTCAGTTGCATGGCTGTGGAAGGTATGTTCATTCTTTGATGTGGCTATCCAAAAAGGTTAAATAAATAAAGCTAGCTGTAATGAAACTTGGAGGGGGAAAGAAGGCATTGTGGTGACGTTCAGGGTGAGACTTTAATTGCTGCAAGATAAGGAGTTGGAAAGAGGCGGATCACAGTCCACGTGTGGTTGTATCCAGCCTGTGCTTGTGCTATGAGGTCCAAGCTGGCTCATGCTACACACTCAGGCTGGGAGCACTTGGGGCAGTGCTGGCCTAATCCGACCATTTTTTTAAAAAAAAAAAAAAAAAAAAGAGAGAAAACACAGCAGGTGGATCCTCTGAGCAGATGGGGAGAGGCCCGCCGCACCGGCGAATCGATTAGCATAACACCCAACGGCTGCCGCACAGCAGCTGCTGAGCTGGGGCCGGGCGGGCTGGAGGCGATGTGGCAGAGGGAAGTCACCAGCAGGGATTTTGAGGACCACAGGGATGTGATCTTGAGGGGTATGATGCCCAGAGACCTGCACCCGGCATCCCTGGGGTGGTGAACATCATGCATCCCTGCAGCCAGGCAGGATTTTGCGTGCAGGTGGCTCTTAGCACTTGGGTTATAGGATCAGTATCTCACATCAAGGGGTGGTGTAAGGCACTGAGCAGGAGGCAAGCAGGAAATTGGTCGGAGAAGGGCTCAAATTAGAGTGGTGTGACTGCTCTAATGGTTGCTGCATGTGTCTCGTGGCAGCTACAGAGATTTTGTGTGAAGATAGAGTTCAGAGGAAGCAGCAAGTTACAACTTGAAATGTCCATCTGTGGCTTTCCTGAGAGAGGAGCATGCAGGTAGCTTCTGCAGACACTTGCAGAAGCACTGAAAGCTGCGGTAGTGGTTACAATACGATTGTCACATTTAAATGATTCTGGTGGTTTTGATCTTGCAGTCACGTGTTCTCCTCCAGTTAGGCTGTTTGCCTTTTGCTTTAATCAACACAAACTCAAGAAAAAAATAAACTACTTGAAGCAGAAGGGCACAATGCACTTAAACTTGTGGGGCAGATATGCAGCTGGCATCACTCCACTGGATTTTTGCTAGTAGATATATTTCCCCTGTACATGGGCACGGTGTCATTACGTGAGTTTTATCTCCTTGCTTATGGATGCAGGGCATATATATGAGTCCCATAAACCTGTGTGTAAGGATTCAGCTTGGGTTACACTCAGCTCTCCAACGACCATGCTTATGTCTTGGGGATGGGTTGTCCTATAGTGAATCTATCCTCTGCAAGGAGGAGCAAACACTACTAGGACTTGAAAAATCACTTAAGTTTGTTGCATAATAATTTCAGTCATATCTCCAGTGGTCCCCAGTGCTTAGAAACACCACTTCAGCATTCTTGCAGGAGTTTCAATACACACAGCACAGAGGGCAAGTAATGAAAACATGGAAGCAATTTAAGTAACAGCATGTGGGTACACAAAGGACTGGTAATGCCAGCAATGTAAAAAGGGGCTGTGAACTGGGGATATAGTATTTATTCAGTGGCCACTTAGGGAGGAAGAAGATATGCCTGTTCCTAAGCTTTGCACTGTTCTGCTAATTAGGCAGTAGGGGCCAGAGCCTGATTTCTAAAGCTATGGTCTGGGGTGCGGTGGTGATTAGAAGGGGGCTCTGTAGAGCCCCAGAGGCTGCACTGCTCATGTGCTGGGGCCTGATTTTATTTTCTTCCCCCCTTTGATTCCAGCTGCTACAGTATGTTCAAAGATGTAAACATACATTAAATACTTTCCTCATGTTTCTTTTCCATGTGAGCAATTGCCCCGGGGATGTTACGCGACGGTGAGCGGGAGGGGAGGTGCTCCAGGAGAGCATGGGGCTGGGTGTGGTTGCCCTGGCCCCGAGCAGGACGGGAGAGCTCCAGCGCTGGGAGCCTCTGCTCCACGGCTTCAAGGCTTGGCCACAACCCAAGAACTCTTGGGTTTAAAGTCACGGCCTTGCCAAGTTTCACATCAGCTTCCCCCTCTTGAAGATAAGAGCAAAGGTAGCTTCCTACACCTCTTCCAGGTCTGCTCAGTGGGTGAATCATGGCTTGGGCTGTCCATGGGACTGCTTGCTCAGTGGTTGCAAAATATGGAGGTGATTGCAAGTGTTTGCTCTGATTTCAACTGTTTTGTGCCTGGGGATGGAGTGGGCTGAACCACGACCACTTCTAGACTGGCAAAGGCTCTGTTTTGTTCTGGTGAGGGGAAGCCAGGAGCCCAAAAGATAACCTGCCCGCCTGCTGCAAGCCCTGCAGGCACTGCTCTTGGTGCTGCTTTCTTCCCACCTGCAGCAGGGTTGCTCGAGCTCAGTGCCCTTGGCATCCCTAGAAGTTCCGTTTCTTCTGGATAAGGGCAAATGTGCTGTGAGTTTGGAATGGCACTGAAAGCGTGGCACCAAATGCAAAGAAGCAATCCATCAACATTCCCTGCTTGTCATGTAGTGTTTAACAAGCCCCAGATGAGTAGTGGTTCCCTGGTTTTGTTTTTATTTCCTTCCCCCCTCCTCCTCCTTTCCTTCATTTGCTACTCTGTCTAGTTTTCTGTGTCAGCAAACACTTCATTTCCCACCCTCCTACCCCACTCCTTTCTTTAAACATAATCTGATAAAGTTTCTTTGGAGCTTCCATCATATGTGCAATGTCCTGCTGCAGGGGATGTTAACTCGTTTATTTATTATTGAATGTTTTTTTTTTTGGAGAGCTTGGGATGGGTGAATGCATTTTGTTGTTGGGAAAAAAGTGGCAGCAAGTCAGTTGGAAGTAAAGCTTCCTTGTGGGCAGTCAGAGGAAGCTCTGTCCTTGGATTTTCTTGCAATCTCCCCCATTGCTTGCCTGCAGGTATATGCCATTTCTCCCCAGGAAGCAATTTTAGCACCTTTTCCCTTGAAATTCTATTCATCTTATTCTTTTCCTCTCCCTAGCCACCCACAGGCAACTTTCTCCTCCAGTTCCTCCTTCTTGAGGACTCTCATTCATTTTTTTTTTTTTTTCCTCTTTGGACCCCTCCTTCTTCCACAAGATCACGACCACTTCCACCCCCGCTTCCTTCCCCTTCTTTACATCACTGACTGCACATTGCACTTTCCCTCCAGGTTCTCGTGTGCATTCGCATCTATTGTCAGATTACCCCCGCGCTGTACTCTCCCCAGTGACTTGTGTGCATGATCATCCAATTGCTCAAAGTGTGTGATTATTTCCCCTTTGCTAAGGGCATCCCTGCATGAGTCAGCTCTTCCTATTGCAAACTGAACATGGCTTGTGGAGTTGGTGTAAGTACTTGCTCCCTGCACT